CAATCGTCTAGCGGTCATGTTCGATGCTTCATTCTCTAATGAACCACTTCATCATTTGTGCCCTTATGATATGAGTCTTATCACCCAACCATCAACATCTCATGCTAATCAATTACAGTACACAGTAATGCTGATCTTGTGATAATATTGTCCCTGATTATTATCACATCCAATCAGGAACATTCTTAAGAGCGAATCATACTGAAAGAATCATGACACTCATATTTTCAAACTCTTTGAAAATAGAATTTAGTTGCCCTTATATAGTTTTTTTTTTTTTTTTTTTTTTTTTTTTACAAATAATGGCAATTTGGTAAATATTTGAAGTCAAATTAGTGTTGCAAATGCGTAATTTTTGCATTTTGCTCGATTGGCGCTGTGGCACAACTCCTGGCAATTTGTGCTTCGACAAAAACCCAACCACTCTACGATGCGAGCTGGAATTTGCCAATATATGTCATGGCGCCATAGATCTACGCCACGGCACAACAAGCATTGCGTCGATTTATGTCGTGGTATAATAAACTCATGCTGCAGCAAAACTATGACTGCGTTGATCCTTGAAATTCCACTTTTTCTTCTTCATGTCTTGGTTCATTCGCACTCTAATGATTCTTGATGGCTGAACATTAGTGCATGTACGAATCATCAATTTTGCACCTAAATTCCTAAAAACATACACAAAGCTGTGATTCTATTTGATAACGAAACATGCAAGGAATATCATCATAAGTAATGCATTAAACCATAAATTCCCTACAATTTCATCTCCAAATCAGTAAATATAAACATGCATTTCCAACACTCATCAATGATCACCAGGTCAAAGGCAAGTAATCATTCAACCCCATTTTTCGGTGACCTCTGAAGACAATCCACCTCCCCAAGCATTGGTCGGTCTTCATCTCCTTCATCTCCTCACCATTCCACCACCACTTGCACATCCTTTTAACTTTCAATCACTTTTACTCCATTTTGCGGTGTCGATCGGTCTTCTCCGGTATCTATTTAGCTTCCCCAGCTACCGGCCATCTCTTCCTTAGCATCCTTTAGCATTTCTATCACCGTTTCATCTTCTTGTTGCCATGATTCCATTTTGTGCCCGCCATGATGATTAGGCTTCTTTGACATCGATTTGTCTTCCTCTGCTACCGGCCATTCTATCTACCATATCTCTAACTTTCTGGCATAGTTCCACCTCATTTTGCCACAAAACACAGCAACTCGCCGACGACAATGTCTCTTCATCTTCTCGACCACATCTGTTCACCTTTCTGCCGTCGACCAATCATCTTATCTTGTTGAGATTCCATCTGCCACTAGCAACTTGTGTTCACCATGACCAATAACTGTTCATTGTCTCTAACTTTCGTTATCACCACCATGAGCGTTGAGCTTCCGGTTGCCATTACAGTGTAGGTGAGACTAGGATCGACTGCCACGATTCCTCTTTACGGCAGCTCTCGACTAGTTGGATTAAACCTGAACTTTGGACAATGTGTTTAAGTGTTTTGTATTCATATTTTATTTGTTTTCTTTTTAATTAGTTTGCTCGTAATACTTTAATATAATTGTGATGGATGACAATTTGAATTGATAATGCCCATTGAGAATGTTTATTGATATTGAACTTGTTGCACAATTGAATGTTGGTATGAGATTGTTAAATGTTGATTATTACTTTCAATTGCTTCTATTCTGATTGCAATCAATTCATATTCGCATTTAATATCATTTCTACTCTGGATGCATTTGTTCTATAATTGGTTGGTTGGATGATACAAGGTTGACAAATTGTATTTGTTAGCATCATACAAACTAGTGGTGTTTAATGGTTAGTGTTTTTTGGTCAATCGATGATAATCTTTAACCAATCAGACTCTGAGTAAATCAGTAGGGAGACACGATAGATTATACCTAGATTGCTAGGAGATGTTTTTGGTGATTTGCGTAGCCATGTAGATTTAGGAAATCTGAGAGCGAGGAGAGGAATTGTAGGTGTTAATTTAGGAAATTTGCCTAGCCTTGTGTTTTACTTAGCTATTAATTTTACGCTCTTAATTACTTACAATTAATTAGTGTTCTTAGTTTTTAGTTAATCAATTTGCCAATTTCATTATCATTACTTGAATATACATTAGGTTGATAGTAATTGCTCTCTTTGTATTCAACCCTTCTTACTGTTAACTACAGTAATTAGGATTAATTTTATGACCGTGACGATCGGCTCTACACATAGGCTATTGGGCAATAGGTTTCAGATGTTGTGCAGAGTTTTGTTTACGGAAGGATGTTAGAATATGATAATGCTATCTACCAAAGTAGTGACAAGTTGTAGAAGTTTTGTTTAAGGAAGGATGTTGGGATATTGGAATGTTGACTGGGTTGACTTGTCAAGCTACTTAGCTAACTGTTAAGTAGTTTATCTTAAAAGTTCTACTTTACTCCTTTTGTATATAAGTGTGTAAAGCAAAACTTCTACAACTTGTCACTACTTTGGTAGTCAGCATTATCATAATCTAACATCTTTCTGTAAACAAAACTCTGCACAACACTTCACCTTAATTCAAGCATAATGAACCAGTAAGACATCACCACTTGCAGATAAATTCTCGGCATAACCTTTCATTTTGAGAATAATCATGCATACCCATATTATCCTTTTTTCATATTTTGCAAAAGACTCTTAACATAGAGTGTTTTAGCTTTGGACTCAGTGAGAAATTTTTTTTCCAATGTAAGCTAAATATCAGTGGCAAATTGACATTTAGAAATCACAAGAAACGTAGACTTTGATATTGAAGACAATAACCAACTCACTAGTAACTTATCATTTTTCTTCCAAAGTGTATATTCCGAATTGGGTTTTTTGGTTACCTTTGAGCTTGAGCTATCCAATTCAATTCTAACAAATGGAGTAGGACACGATATAAGTCTAGTGAGATGTTCTTCAAGATCATGAGCTCCGATAGCAAAGAGAATTTGTGACTTCCAAAAACGATGGTTGTCTCTCGTTAGTTTAGGTGAGATTATAGGAAGTGTCAATGAAGCTAGTGAAGAAGAACTGACAAAATTATTTGAATCAGAGGTATGCTTGGAACTTGAATTCTTATTCGATTTATCAAAAGAGGAAGAAATTGAATAGGAATCGGCCATTTTCGACATTTGTCAAAGGCTCTGATACCAAGTAAGTGAAGAATAGAGATAGTGAAAGTGAAGAATAGAGATAGTGAAAGAAGAAGAAAGAGAGAATATTCAAGAAGAAGACTTGAAATTTTTATTAATGATAAAAAATATAATTTACACACTTATATACAAAAGGAGTAAAGTAGAACTTTTAAGATAAACTACTTAACAGTTAGCTAAGTAGCTTGACAAGTCAACCTCGTCAACATTCCAATATCCTAACAAGAGACAAGCTAAATATTACATCCTTTTTGCCTAATCTTAATGAAAATGCATAGGCAGTTGCACCTGGAGTAGAACAGTTATAGTAGAAAACAGTATTACTTTGTAACCGCAAAGCTGATGCAGTGGAGTAGAGTAGTTGCAGTAGAAGTAGTAGCTGTAGTAGTTGGAGGTGTTTGCAATAATTAAAGTTTGACACCGAAGACCTGAAATTGGCTGAAGTAGTCGGAAATGCTGAAATCTGTAGAAATAGTAGTTGAAGTAGTTGGAAGTGTGTGCAGTGAAATTGTAGAGCTTATCTAAATATTAAAACTGACGAGCTAATGAAGAAATTGAAGCTGAAGAGCAGGGAATTGCAAAATGTGAGATTGTAGTTAAATGATCCTAGTAGGAAATTGAAAGTAGAATAGGAGAAAGAAGAATTGAGTTTTAGTTTGAGGGAAAATGTTAAGTAAGGAAAATGTAAAAGAGGCATACTGTTTTTCCAGAATACACAGGCAGTCAAGTTTGAGGGGGAATGTTGAGCAGAATGCACTAGAAACAATTATATGAAAATGTAGAATTTAAGTGAAATCAGCAAGGGACGTCTGATCCTGAAGGAAGGACGCCCGTCCTCATGACCGTCCCTTGTACTATCCAATTTTGGAGCATATTGAAGAACCAAGGCAAGGACACTCGCCCTTATGAAGAGGGACGCCTGTCCCTATATCTTCAAGCCGTCTCCCATTCCTGTGCCAGTTCTACCTTCTGGAAAATCAGTGCACATTTTGGTGAATGACCAAAGTGTTAAGCTTTAGAAGTTATTTGACTTTATTGTAATTGTGTAAAGGACCAACGTGTTGAGTTTTAGAAGTTGTTGAACTTTATTGTAATAATGTTAAAACGATGTGTTTTACACAACACCTATTTGCAATCCCGCTTAGACTTGTATTCAATGATTCTGGTAATACAATTTACAAGGATTCTTGATCCTTTCTCAGAATTCTCTCAATTTTCTGGATTCTTCGAAATTCTTCACCCTTCGCCGTCAAAGTTCTCGCCTATGAACGCACACCTTAATTTATAAATATCTTCTAATTTGGTTTAGCTTTTCATTTGGTAAAACAAAATAGATTAAATCTATTTGAAGAAGTCAAATTTTGCTGCGGAATTAATTTCTTCTGAACCAAGATAAGTTAGGAAACATATTTTTTTACCTATACATCGAACGGGTCAAAATAAGTATTTTGAAGGGTCCAATTCAATTCGTCCGCTGACAAGCATTCCTAGAATAAAATTTGAAAATCTAACCAATCTACACCAAGCCTCTCTTTGTTTATTTATTATTAGGTCAATTTACCAATTACATTTGTTTACTTGAGTCTTAAAATTGTAGAGGTGGACTTCAAAAGAGAGTAAAGCAGTTAATTTAAGTTGAAATAATCAAGGTAAGTAAAATTAGACTGCCACCGATCATACATAATAATTTTTAATTTTCGCTTATAGTGATAGCCAAAAAAAAAGTGTCATTCACAAATTAATATAATGTACTTCAATACTCAATCACATAGATCTGTATAGGCTTAATAAATCACTGAGAAATTGAGCTAACCATGAAGGTCTTCAGCTTACAAGTCTTTTGTATTATACTTCATGCTGGAATCCTTCATTGTCATCCTCAGGCTCGTTACACATTTGTGGTAAGCTTTATATCAGTGCCACCTCTAAATTGAGCCATTTTAAAAGCTAGTCTTCCTCTACAATACTATTTTCTGCATCTTATTTATAAGGAATTATATTAATAACTACTTGATAATTGTTGTAGGTGGAGGAAACTCCATACACAAGACTTTGCAACAATAATACCATCTTGACGGTGAACGGACAGTTTCCAGGACCGACGCTATATGTAAACAGAGGAGATACAATCATTGTAGATGTTATCAACAACGCCAACTATAACATCACACTTCACTGGTAAATTTGAACCTTTTTGTCTTTATGTTACATCCAAACCAATATATTACAAGAAAAATAAGCTTTTCCGATGAGTTTTTTACCGACACAGATGTGGGCGTCAGTTTAAACCACCTCTCCCGACAAAGTATTGCATCGGAAGAGGTGTTTTGTTTTTCTCAGCATAAAGTGTGATAGGGATAAAATTTTTAGCCTGCTACGATGTAATTGTAATCGACCGATCTCTTGCAATCAATGTAAAAAAGTATTGATAACTTTGCAGGCATGGAGTGAACCAGCCTCGGAATCCATGGTCTGATGGTCCTGAATGGATCACACAATGCCCTATCCAACCAGGAGCAAACTTTACTCAGACGATAATATTTTCAAAAGAAGAAGGGACTCTTTGGTGGCATGCCCATAGCGATTGGGCAAGAGCAACGGTTCATGGTATTGTAGTAATATATCCCGAGAATGGAAACAGCTATCCGTTTCCAAAACCTGACGTTGAAGTTCCTATTATATTAGGTCGAGCCACATGATATTGGCAGATTCTCTTCTGATACAAACTTTTTGAAACAATGAATATTCCAATTAACTGTTTATGGTTCCTTAATTAATTACAGGTGAGTGGTGGAAGAGCAATATTTATGATGTGTATGATGAATCTCTGCGGACCGGAGGGGATCCAAATATTTCGGATGCATACATGATCAATGGTCAACCTGGCGATCTGTATCCGTGCTCAAGTCCAGGTCACATTTGATATTATCAACATTAGTCTGATTACACTATATTTTATAATTTTAAAAAACTTTAGATTATTTTTAACGTAATAGCAACTGAGCAGATGGCACTTGCCCAGAAGGCTTATTCAGCATATATATAGTTATATACTCCATATCGAAATTAGTTCAAATATGGAAGCTAACATTCATCGGAAATGTATATTGGAACTGAACTTGACGTCTGATATATGGCTGTTAGTTGGTCGTCAAAGCTTGTAAAACTTGCCAATGTAATATAGCAGTCTAACCATTTAGATATAATTAATTAGTTAATTTAAAAAAATTTATTAGTGATATATATTTTATTAATGGAATATAATATTGTTTGTTATTTAGGAGTATACGTTAATTATACACGTATAAGAAAATGTTAGTTTTGAATATATGGGAGAGATTTAACGATTCCTTACACGAAATTCACACTAAATTTTATTGCAGATTTAAGTATTTATAAAATGGGCGGAAAGATTTATGATGAATTTTATAACTATTGTTAATATAATAAAGGAATCACATAGCAATAAAAAATAAACACATTGTACTAGGCTCGGTTCAGGAGATGCTAATTTATATTTACTAATAGAGATGTGTAATCAACAAGCTTTCATTTAGTTTACTATTTGCAGGAACATTTATGCTAAATGTTGACTATGGCTTGACTTATCTTCTCCGGATAATCAACGCTGTCGTGCAAGACATTCACTTCTTCGCTGTTGCAAATCATTCTCTCACTGTGGTAGGATCAGATGCGAGCTACACGAAGCCATTCACGAGCGATTACATTACAATTTCCCCTGGTCAAACCATTGATGTCCTGTTATACGCTAATCAAAAGCCTGATTATTACTACATGGCAGCTAAAACTTACGCCAGCGTATTTAATACTTCTTTTGATAACACAACGACCACAGCTATTATTCAATACAATGGAAACTACACTCCGTCGTCAACACCCTCATTCCCTAATCTTCCCCTTTATAACGACACAAACGCGTCAGTGAATTTCACCGGAAGACTTCGAAGCTTAGCCGATGTAAATCACCCTGTTGATGTCCCGACCAATATTACTTACGAATTCTTTTACACACTTTCAGTGAATGCATTTCCGTGTCCAAACAGTTCATGTGCTGGAATAAACGGGACAAGACTTTCTTCTAGTGTAAACAATATAAGCTTCGTGTACCCATCCATCGATATACTAGAAGCTTATTATAACAGCATCAATGGAGTCTTTGGAACTCAGTTTCCAGATTTTCCACCATTGGTGTTCAATTACACAGCTCAAAATTTGCCATTGGAATTTGAGATACCACGACGAGCCACTGAGGTGAGAGTCCTAGATTATAACTCTACAATTGAGCTTGTTTTTCAAGGAACAAATCTTCTTGCGGGGGCAGATCACCCCATGCATTTACATGGATTCAGTTTCTATGTCGTTGGATGGGGACTCGGAAATTTCGACAAAGATAAAGATCCATTGAATTATAATCTTTTCGATCCTCCTCTTCAAAACACCATTGCTGTCCCGATAAACGGATGGACCACCATTCGATTCAAGGCAAATAATCCCGGTACGTTGTTCACTTCTTTCCCTTACTATTTCGATCATCTTAAGGTACGTTTTAAGAACACGTTTATAAAGTAATTTTTTTTTTTTTTTTTTTTTTTTGGGGGGGGTATTTTAAGCAGGAGTATGGTTCATGCACTGCCATTTAGATAGACACTGAGCTGGGTGAATACGGTTTTATGTGAGAAACGGCAACGCATCAAATGCACGTCTGTTACCTCCTCCAAGCATGCCACCTGTTGATTGTTGAAGCTATTTTTATCTTAGTTAAATTATAAAGAATTTGCCATCGATCATTGACTTCATATATTCGTTCGCAGTTGTAATTTCAATATGACAATATTGAATCTCGCAAATTTTGTGTGAGCATTCGGAATTGTAAAGAGTTGTTTGACATTATCTATGTATTCAATTCCAAATGATTCTATTGAAAGGACCTGTAAATGGAATTCAATTCAATTATAATTTTATACATCAATCTGAAGATTTTCAATTAATTCAATAGAGTAAAACTATATTATAAACAACTTAATATTTCAAAACTACATATAATCGATTTAAATTATCATCAATCTAAGACTTTTCGATCTAATTCACTGGGGGTAAAACTATATTAAACTAATAGAATTATTCAATTTGAAATGAGTTGTTATTAAAATTCACGATGTCAAGTAAAACCGGAAATATTTCAGTCCAATTTCGTAAGCAATGACATTAACTCCCATCTAATCCAAAATTCAAACTTTAATACTCAATATATGTAATTCTCCTTTATAACTTAATCTATGAAGTCGTCAAATGTCCAATAATAAATCTAAGGTACAAAACTTAAATATCAAGCCTCCCTGACTCTAATTGAGCTTCAGTTTTAATTGAGGTCAATTTTGATTAATCAATTGGTCTAATATTACTACCCTAAACCAAGTGAAAAAATTTACAATTAATTCAAAAAAAAAAAAAAAAAGAATCCCTCAAGATTTCGATTTTTGAGTGTATTTATCAGACCTTTAACCTACAAATCATCGACCAGGCTTCCTCTATGATAAAAACCTTCGATTATTTCAATTTCCTACTAAGCAGATCTTAATTTGTATTATTGTATTGCCCGATATTATTCAACTTAAATCTTTAAGTGCCAATGCTAACACGATCAACACTTCAAGAAATCTAACTGGGACAAGTCATCTTCGTTTCTTGTATATAATTAATTATCTTACAATAAAATATGCATATAAATTATAATCTCTAGTCTTTAATTTCGATTATGGATTTTGTCATTATAACAAGAGTTTCAAGGAAAGAAGAAAGAAAAAAAACAGTAATTTAAATAATGTTTGACTAAAGCTAATTGGATGTTATGTCTATCCAGCTATATATTGTAGTGAAAATTTTCTGATTAATAAATTTAATAATTAATCTGCCATTCTACAATTTTTTTTATAATTAAATTTTTCATTTGAGTATTCAACTCGTGTCCTTTCTACATTTTTTTTAAAAGACTATATTTTGTAAACTGGTCAATTATGGCTATGTCTATAGATTCGCCAATATAAATCATAATTAAGTTTGCAAAAGTAAAAGCTTGAAAATGGCTTGTAAACATAATCGAAGGAACTGCAAAGTATATCAACCACTAAAGGTACTAAAGAAACAGAAGAACAAAATAATTTATCATGTAATATATTCCGAAGGTTGAAAGCTAAGTGAAAAGATTTTATGGAATCTTACAGAATGTTATGGGTAAATTATTGAATTTCGTTCATTATATCAAAATACCCTAATCCTTAATATTACAAGTTTACATAGATGGCAGGTTTGATGTTTCGTAGGGGCAGGGTAAGGATGTTAATTTGGAAGACGAGGTGTGTTTGGGGATAAATTAAATCATGAATTGAAACGGAAAGAGATGAGTTTAGTATCCCTAACCCGAAATACTAGGAGTGTAATCGAGCCGACCGAGTCGAGCTTTTGGTAAATCAAGCTTGGCTTGGTTACTGTAGCAATGAGCTCGAGTTCGAGCTCGAGCCCAATCAAGCTTGGCAAAGCTAAATTGAGCTCAACTCTTAACACTATTGGAAGCTCAAATTTGAACTTGAGCTCGAGCCACTAGAATTCGATAAAGCTCAATTTCCATGAGTGCAAATCAAGCTATAGCTCAAATTCCATCTCGATTAGCACAAACAAATACAGAACAGCACCAATTACATACAGTTGAAAGATTAACTCATATAATTACACATTTACACCGCAAACTAACTCAAAATACAATGAAACATTTAACTCATATCAATTACACTTTGCTTAGATTGAGATTGAGATTGAGAGTGAGAGGCTGAGACAAAAGTGAGATTAAGATTAGACTCTAAGACTGTAAAATAAAAATTACCTGAGATTGAGCGGCTGAAGTTTGAGACTGAGAGTGAGACGAGAGTCACGAGAAGGAGAAGGACAATTCGTCAGAGGAAGGGAAAACGACGACGGAGAGATTACAAACGGAAAACACGAAGAACAAAGTAAATGGGGAAGGAGAGAGCTTTTGAGAGTTAGGGTTTGTTTCTAATTTGATTTACCAATTCCTAATCGATTTTGACTTCATTTGATATGGTATGGTGGATTTGCAAGTTTTTAAAACTAGAACATATCATAAATTCATAGGCCCCTATTACTTTAAAACCTAGCATATAACCCTCGAGCTAGCTCAAGCTCGAGCTTCACAAGCCGAGTAGTACCGTGTTCAAACTGGCTGGCACTGTAGTCGAGTCGACTCGGCTCTTCAAGCCTAGCCAATTTCGAGTAAATCTCAACCCAAGCACAAGTGACTCGGCTCGGCTTTCACCCCTAACCCAAAGCCCACCCGTTGTCTGTAATAATAATAAATGTGAATATTTATTCATATAGTATGTAACTCATGAAAAAGATAAGATACTATTTAGATTAAAATTAAGTATCTACATATAATATCAATATCTAATAGATAAAAATAAAAATAAAAATTACATAATAACAACTTTTTACTTTTTAATATTACTATAATCTGTTGATAGTTTTTTTTTTTTTTTTCAAAGAACAATCGTACTATATAGTAATAGTTTTATTTAACTAGAATATGGCGATATATGTTAATGTTATTATTTCAAGTAAATTTTAATAATTTTATACCTAGAAATAGGGTGGGGATGGAAAAAGTAATTCCCATCCCCACCCAGCGCAAACAATTTGAGAAAATGGATGGAGAATGGAAACCAAAATTGAAGGAGGGGTGGAGGATGGGAGATAGGAAAGGCCTCTCCTCCCTCTCCTCACACCATTGGCATCCTTAAAAGTATTTGTGGAAAACTCATATTTGTCAAACTTATGAATTGTGTGTGTACACATATGTTCTGCATGCACACTAATTGCCAGACTTGAGTCTTGGCTTGTTTCGTTTAGAGTGTGTATGTACAACAGTTTGTACTCTCACTCTTGCTGCAGATATTTGCAACCCAGCACGAGTTGCATGACTGAAAAAGTGAAAAATATATTATTTATCTTTTTCTCTCACTTTTTAGGACCATTTTTGCATGTGTCATAACATCCTTAAGTAGTCCTAGGGAATAAAGTACTTTTCCCAATTTGCTTTGTGGTCCAAACCAAAAAGAAGGAAAACTTTCCTTATTTGGACAAACATGTGTCAGTTCCTTGTTGGCTGACTTGGCACTATATTGTTGAGCAAGAAATCCTTCATTATATAATACCCCTTCTTGCATGTATGAATCTAACCTTATGACCATTTGTTTCATTGTACTCTAATTCTCTTAGAGTATTTTTTTCTCTTAATTAAGGTTTAAGATTCACTTCCATATTTTGTGCCAAAACCTCACCATAGCAAACACGTTATTGATGGCTTTTGGAACAGGGTTCCTTTGCTGATGCTGATGTGTGTAGCGTCAGTGGTTGCAGTTTGGTGGTTCACAAGCTGTTCACGGGTGTGTTCCCAGTGTGAAGAAGATTTAAAGGAATTGCTACACGTTAAGGATTCAGAGTGTGGTGCTAAGTGTAAAGTTGAACAGTAAGTCTTTTTTACTGTAACTTAGATCAACTTTGAACTATATCTAGATCAACTTTGAACTATATCTTGTAATGTGTTTTTAACTTAGTGGATTGCTTCGATCTGGATAAGATCCCATGGATCTAGGCTAAAAGTGGATTCAGCCAAACCATGCATATGGTTGTGTTCTTTATTTTCCGTACTTGTGTTTGATGTGTTCAAATTGGAAATGCTTAATCTACTTGGTAAATTTTCCGCTGCACTTAAAATGGGTAACTACACTCTCTAACGTGAGTTAAATCTCCAACTCTCTCCCCAACAGTATTATTTTGAAACCCATATTGAAAGCTGATGCCTTCTCTGGTCCAAGGGCACTCTAAACCAGGTTATAGCATTTGGATCAAATTGGCCTATGGTTCAGTTGTTAGAACAATGTCGAATTGTCAATTGAACAGTCGAGTTAGAGAACCAGTCGTTAGTGATAATTGCTATAGGTGGGTTAAGGAAGAGGGCAAAAATCAATAATCAGCCCATACAGTCTTCAAACAGTCGCTGATCTAATCAAACAATCGCCGTTCTAATCAAAACAACCAAACAAGCAATAAGAATTAATTGAATTTAATCACAACCCAAACAATTAGAATCACAAACTAATTAAGATGAACGAAAGAGAAGAGACAAAGAATCAATGAAATTAGGGTTTGCAACAAATGTTAAATGAAATTAGGGATTGTTTAGAATCGGCCTGATTCTGGCGCCGTTACACCCACTTGACACCACCATTGGCATCACCTTCACCTCGATGACCAGCTAAGTGCACCCATCGATCGTTGATCGTTGTCCATCAACTGGTTTGCGCGACTACCTATCTTTAGGTCGATTTTCAACCACTTCCAGTGACAATCAAACAAACCTAAACTGGAGATATTATAATCAAGAACATAAGCAATTAAAGGTTTTATAATTGCAACGCCACCAAAAACGATAACGATGATCAACTATTTGGTTTGGAAAAGTAAAACATAGAGGAAAGATAAATAAAAAGAAAGATAGCTTACCTTGAAGTGATAAAAAAAAATGATGTAAAAAGTTGCAAGGTTGTTTTGCTGGATTTCAAACCTATAGGGACTAATGATAACTTTNTCTCTTAATTAAGGTTTAAGATTCACTTCCATATTTTGTGCCAAAACCTCACCATAGCAAACACGTTATTGATGGCTTTTGGAACAGGGTTCCTTTGCTGATGCTGGTGTGTGTGGCATCGGTGGTTGCAGTTTGGTGGTTCACAAGCTGTTCACGGGTGTGTTCCCGGTGTGAAGAAGATTCAAAGGAATTGCTATACGTTAAGGATTCAGAGTGTGGT